AGAGAGAGAGAGAGAGAGGGAGTATACATATATGAAAGACAGAGAGAGCCAGAGAGAGAGACAGAGAGACAGAGAGACGGAGAGACGGAGAGACAGAGAGAGGGAGAGAGGAGAGAGCCAGAAAGAGAGAGAGAGAGCAGGCAGACAGAGCCAGACAGAGAGAGCAAGCGAGAGCGAGCGAGCGAGAAGAGACAGACACCCACAGAAAGGAGTCAGGAGAGACACCACGGAGCGACGCAGAGCCGCAGTCCGTGTCTAGGACACGTACTAACTCCACCTTCATCTTTCGTCTCTCCGCCTTGTGGTGCAAACTGTCCCGGTGCAAATAGACCCCAGGACAGCCGGCAAGCATTCGGTCACCTGGGCGTGCAGGCTCTTGCAACCGTTGTCCTTGCCATCTAGTCCCATCTCCTGTTCCTCATCGTAATCCGTAGAAACATCTGGCCCTACATACTTCCTTGGGCCATTGATTCCAAGCTTGACTCGTCGAAAACAACTGTTGATGGTGCTCCTGTCACACCTAAAGGGAATCCTGAGCCCTGTACAAGACTGTAGAAGAAATCTGTCAGGATTTTGGGCGGCTTTCATGCGGGTTCGAGAAGGGTCTATACGGGGATTCAAAGGGCTTCTAAAGTATCTTATGAGTATGCAACCGTAGAAGCTGTTGAAGGGGACCTTTGTAAAGGGCCTTGCAAGGGCTCAAGCAAGGGTCCTGAATTGAGCGCTTTGCAGGCTAAGCCTTTTGTACGGACACTCTGCGCTTTTCCGTGTGCTCCACACGATAAAGTGTGCAAAAAAGCGTTCTCAAAGTGCTCTGAAGATGTCATTTGCATTTGGCGCTCCCATCATGGCGAGTTTCCGTGCCACCCTCCTCACAGCGATTGAGGGTAACACAACCGAAAACTAGGGATTTATGCTGGTCCTCGAAGCAAGCTTGCACGGTGTAAAATATCTGGAAGAGCCGGGGATGCCCCCCCCGTTCGCAAACATGCGGCATGATGAACGGACTCACGATGTCTCTTGCCATCAGGCTTGCACAGCTCAAGAGACCGCGGGCGGCCCCGCGTTGACACGCAAACATGATGCTTGTATGACGTGTTCTGAAAGGATTCACCGCCCGTCTCTTGATGGCATTCCTTTTTAGTTGAAGCAGGAGAGTTTGTGGCAGGCTGTACTCGCCCATCAAATATCCCTCTCGGGCAGATACCCACTGCGCGGAGGCAACCCACGGAGAAGACCAGCCGAGGGTAACGGGGGAATGGGGGTGGGTTGCAAGGTATCCAACGCGCGCAAAAGGATTCCCTCTTGTGGGGTACCTTCAGGAGGTACTCTGCGCCGGTAACCCGCGGAGAGGTATTGAAAGAGGAAACAACATCCCACATCCTACCTTGTTGACAGGTACCTCTAATGCGCACGAAAAGATCGAAAGGATCGAAAGGGGGGTGTGGAGTGGGGAGAGTATCCTACGGAATGGATTCCTTCTTGCAGGGTACTTCCTGGAGGTATCCCACGCAGGTAAGCCGTGGAGAGGTATAGAAGGGGGAAGCCCGAGGAAGCAACATCCCACATCCTATATAGCTGACAGGTACCTAACCCGCGGATACCTGACGCGCAAACGAAAGGATCGAGGTGGGGGTGAGTGAGGGGCATCCCACTCACCCGAAAGGATTCCCTCTTGCAGGGTACCGCCTGGAGTATCCCGTGCAAGCAACCCCGAAGTATTGTCAGAGGAAGCAGCATCTTCGTTGACGGGCACCTAAACCGCAGAGGTACCGACACGCAGACTGGGGTACATAATGGTTTGTGGGTGGCACCGAGCCCCTCATTTGCAATCTGCATTGTAGTTCTCAGATTGTTTCACAGCTTTTTTTGTTGATGGCATGCTGTTCAAGCTTGCACAGATTACAAAGGCGAGGAACTTCGACAGCGAACATGAGTGTGCGACGGTTCCTGAAAGGATTTCAAGCGTGTCTCCTGATGGCATGCTCTTCTTTGCGCAGCTCCAGCCCCCCATTGCATGCAAACACCATGAGTATATGATGGGTTCTGGCAGGATTCACAGCATGTCTCTTGATCGCATGCTGCTCTTGGAAACAAGCTTGCACGGATTAAAACGAGGCGTTTGGGCTGGGAAGGTGGAATTGGCAGAGCCGTGTTTGGCCGCAAGCAGATGAATTCCAACACAATTGTTTTCTAAGCTGTATGTTGCCAGGTTCTTGGAAACATACATACACTATGATCAAAGCAGTTGAACGCGGTGTACAATGTGGAATGACACCATCACTACAAGATAGCGAAACGCTATAGAATATGCTATGCAGCAAGATAACGTGAAATAGAACGTTAACAAAGTAGAACAGAACCTCGTGTAGCAAGTTATAGACACTATAGAACACTATAGCATGACACAAAAATTGTCGATGATAGTGGCAGTGGCAAGTGGGAATGATAATGTTTAATGGCGGTAGCAACACAACAATGGTTGTGATGATGACGATGACGATGATGCGGACCATAATGGTCGCCAGTATTTCGATGCTTATTCGACCAGCTAAAACTTCTTGGCACCAGGCAACGTTGTTATCTTTGCAGGAGTGGCAAATAATGTGACTCATGCCAGCGCCGATTCCGACGGCCATTCTTCAGCTGAGCTGCCTTTCGACTCGTCGCTGCTCGGGAAGAGCTCCCCATGGTATATGATGGAGTAGAGAGCCTGGGCAAGGTTTCAATGAAGGTTTTTTCGAGTTTACGGGAATGCACAAATCCGACGTCATGGCAGTGTACACAGGATGACGTGGAGTGTTTGTCAGTGTGCGTTGAGGGGTTGTCGGGCTTCTGAGGGCCCTGATGCAACGCTTCGGGCACCCTAAAGTCACAGTAAGCCTGAATGTACTGGTATTGCCACTCCGGTGGCTGTTGCTTCTGTCCGTTGCCACCGCCCCTCCACCTTTTCCTCTCTGTCCTCCTGCTCCCCTTGTTGCTCACGTTACTGCTCTTCTTCTTGGCTTCTGCCACTTGACACGTTCGGACTACTGACTCTTGTCATCCGTAGAAGGGAGCAGGCCTCCATCTTGCAGCCGTGCCAGCCACGCTGCCAGCCGCCCTGCCGCAGCAATTTGCGGTAGGTGTCCTCCATTGGCATCCACGGGATGCGCCACCAACCGTCACTGTACGGAGCCTGGGAAGGATCCAAGCGGAAACACATGAACCACACTAGAACTCGTAACCGCCGTAACTGCAGCCCGGCTGCAGGTTCCCCCAGCAAGGATTCGAGCGACTTCCCATCTGGACCTTTCCGCGTCTCGAAGAAGCTTTTCAAAAAGCGATCCACGTCCGAATCGCATGCCTTAGAACTCGGCGGCTGTGGCAGCTGATACCTGGCATTGGCCCCCCAGGCCAACACCCGGTCCGAGGATGTGGGCCCGGCTATATCGGCGAGGTTCCACTCGTAAGGCCCACCACACGATGCGGGGTCGAAATCCGGGGCTGGCCTTCGTTCCGCTGCTGGCATCGCCTCTAATCCTCCTGTGAATTCCACGGGCCTGTGATGCGGAATAGGCTGCCGGAGGGGGTCCACTCCTCTTTGCCAGCGATTCCGCTTCTTGGGCGCCGTTTGGGGCTGTGGCTGCATTTCGGTAGTGCCAGATTGTCCGGGAGCTGCATTGCCTTCATTCAGCACAGCATCTGCACACGTGTCCAGGGATGCTGATCCTTCAACCAGCTTAACCTGCTGCAGTTCATCTGTCGAAGTGGCCTTATGGGGCACCTTCTTCATGAAGGTCAGCTTGAGTGGACGTGCGCTGAGTGCAGCTTGAAGCTCCTCTGAGGAGCGCATCTCCCGCGTCAGCTTTCCGCTGACTTTCACGAGGCTATCGAAGTTTCGCAAGCCCTCTGTCTCCGCCCAGCCACCTGGATGCACCCGGATGCCATCTTCCCGCGGAAACTCCGGACAGTGGAAGCCCAGAGAACCTGTCTCGTCCGCTTTGACAAGATGTTGAGGGAAAGAAGCGACAAGGGGCCTCTCTAGGGCCCCAATGACGCAGCCTTCTGAGAAGATCAGCCTGCAGATCTCGAAGTCCTTGCCGGCCTTGAGGCTAGGGAAGGCATCCCCCTTCTTCCACTTCTTCTTCCCTTCAAACGTAATCGTCTTCCCCAAGCGAGTTGTGAATGTAACTGTGTGGCAAAGGAACATTTTGGTCTCTTGAATAGGCTTGGAGCCATAGCCACAAACTTTAAATATGAAATCATCTGCCGCGACCGAATGCCACTTGACTTTTCGCTTCTTGCAAGCAACATCATCGCAGATGTCCATCTTCGCACAGTCATCATCCAAGAGGCAACCTTTGCGTATGCCACCATCGAATTCAAAGATTAAGCCATGCACGACGTGACCGACTCCGGCCCCGATGCGCCTAAGCTGTCCTGGCTGCGCCTCAAGGTCTTCGCTCGTGGGTGGAGTCACCATGGCATCGAACGCAAATTGCTTCGAATTAGCCTCTTACCTTTGCCCGGCTGTGAAGTAGAGTCAAGTACAAATACCAGCTCGTGGCTTGTCAACATGCTCGGACAGACAGTTGCAAAGACACCGTGTCACAGCGTCTTGCGCGACGGACTACAGCCAACACCGACATCAGCGGATGAAGGGAAAAGCTGTGCAAAAGGACACCTGGCAAGAAAGGCTCAACCTTATGCCCCAACCATCCTACCCTCTTCGCATTGAAGGCAGGCGCTCAACCGGGCCTTGGGCGCAAAGGCGTGCCAGTAGTCCTGTGCCGGTGAGGGAGGGGAGCTTGCGAAGGGAAGGAGCACCCTGCTTCCGAAGCAACCCATCACAGGCCTTTATCCCCAAAGTCAGTGTCGATAGTCGGCCATTTGGTGTTCAAAACTCTCATGAAAGCACCTAGCATCAAGAACACCACAACTAGCTAACTTTAAGAGTGCAGTAACGCTGAGCAGGAATAGACCTTTCTGCATCCACTGGATCCTGATGTCCCTGTGGCCTCATGCAGTCTCGCACTTTGAAACCCGATAAGCCTGAACCCTATGACTACTACTATCATTACCGAATATGACTATTGCTGCCGGTATTATTGACATTTGTCGCTTGTCCAAAAAAGACCCTTCGAATCACCTTTCCACATACGGGCCCCGTGCTCAAGGCGTAAATGGAATCTGCCTGCAGAGCCTAAAGCTGGGATTATCAACAAAATGTTATATCTGAAGTGATTACCTTGATGTCATCACGCCCTGCTCACCGCAAGACCTACCTGAGCACAAGGCTTCCACACGACATTCAGAGCACATCAATCTCACCTACTTGTGTGTTGTTTTCGACATGGTGAAAAATGAAACAAACTAATGTTATCGAATATAATAGAATAGAACAGCATAGAATAGAACAGAATAGAATACAGCATGAACTAGAACAGAAAAGGATAGAACAGAATACAATAGAACAGAAAAATCAACTAGAATAGAACAGAAGAGAAGAGGATATGAATTAATGTGGCTCAAGTTAGTATATAGAACGGATTAGACAAAAAAGGAATAGAATATAGAAATATAATATCATAGAATTTTGCAGGATGGAATAGAATAGGATAGGCTATAGTATAACAACATATGGTATAATGCATATGCACATGGTTAACCATATGTAGGTGTACACACAAAATATGCATGTGTATATACATATGTGTATATTCAGTGCCGTGTGTGTGGTCGAAAGTTTCAGTCGTGCGCCTTGTTCTGCAAGTCCCAGAAGATGTAGCCTCGGTGACCACTGAGGGATGGGAGGTTCTAGGGCACAGATCCCGGTAAGTTGCGCTTCGGATCGAAGGCAAGTCTAGGTTCGAGTTCTAGAGTATCCATTGCTGGTATGCGGGAAAGCATACTATGCTACACCATACAATACCAAGCAGTACAATGTAGTATGCTATTGGGCGACCTTCGTTTACCGATCCTCCCCGGATTGCTAGGCGGGTCTACTCCATGATCTTATGCAACCCTTCCATGCTTTGGCTATGAAACTTACGGAAGGGATGGGTCTGCGGCTTTCGACCCTCTCTCGCGCGGCTGCAGCGATCGATTTGAGTGCGCCTGGAGTCGCCAGAGACAAGAAAGAAACAACAAGTATATCACTGAACAACCTGACTGCCTTCTGAAGGAAAGGTTACCAGGCCTCAACGTACTACGGAGAAGCCGAGGAAGGGGCGTGGGTCGGCATGCTGGATGTTCATCCACATGTTCAGGTTGTTGAAGACCACCTCGCACGGGTGAAAGGGAAAGAACGGGATCTCTGATAGTTCAGGGCTGCGCATCCCAAACAGCCCAACCTTACAACGCTCCGATGTCCCAAAATCCTGAAACCGAGTCTCGGGCTCTGCAGGGCTTTACTCCCTATCAACGAGTGCTCTTTCAAGAGCGACCGTGTGCAACACCCCTTTTTACGAGTCTCTCTGCAACAGGTGGAACCGCTTGACCTTCTCCCGCATTAAGGCTTGGTGACACAGGGCAGCATGTCTAGGGTGTAGGGTCAGGGGACTACGGTACCTCCACGGTCTTGTACGGAAGGACCGTGCTGGAGTCATTGAAACCTCAGCACTCGCGAGCACTGACGGATCCAGGGCTGAGGGTAAAGTGTGATCTTGGGACAAGGGATGAATGCACAACATGCCACTGGAGTTGTCAAGGATCACAGGCAGCCTTCATCAGCCTTCAGCAAGTGCGATACCCCGGTCTAGCCATGCTTGGCGTTGGGGTTGCCATGGTCGGCAAATAACTGAACTTAGTAGGTACGACTCCAGGCGCTTTTCTCTATACTTTAAGCCCTACAGTATTTGAAGGGCTTGTGCTGGGGCGCTATCAGACATGGAGGTTCGTCTGGGAACGGTCTCTACTTCGTGTGGTCGGCTTTCGAAGCCCCTCCATCACCGGTACTGGAACTGGCTTAGTGCTCTGGCTGCAAATGCTTCCCTGCCCACTTGCGAGCCCTACAAGGTTTGGGTACGTTCTAAACACTCTTACCGTAGTGTATATCTGAAATCGCCGCGATTCGTTTAGGCCACCGTCTGAATACACCGACGACCACGGGTTGCGATATCTCGGGCAGAAGCTCTCATCCAAGTAGGAGTTGTAGGCCTTGGGTGGGCACGGCTTCTAATCGTCCGAGTCTCGGCTTCGGGCTTAGTGTTCTGGCACGCCGAAAGTGAGTTCACAGTTCGGGATTAGGCTTGGGTTCAGGAGGTTTGTAGCAATCGGGGCCGGGCTTGGGTATTTCGCCCCTTTGTGCTTTCGCCAACTGAAATTCCCGGAGGCCGAAGCCGCCCAGAAAAACCTAAGCTGCCTCCCTCGTATCCCCAGAAAAGCCTGAGAAAACCCCGGTGGAAGTAAGGTTCTTGATATCGTGTCAACGGCTAAGGACCGACGGTGCTGTATGGTGCTGCATGCTGCTATTGAGCAACGAGTTCTCAAGGTCAATGGTCCAGGCTGCACCGGATGCAACCTCATGTGAATTCCAGTTGTTTGACGGTTTTGCAAACTAAGTGAAATCTATCTCCCAGCAGGTGCATTGAAACCAAATTCCCAAGGGACCCTCCCATGCGCTCAGCCGAGCAGTAATATGAACCCCAATCCCCCAAACGCGAACACCTCAAACCTGTACACCTCAAAGCAAACTTCATGTGGGGGCGGTATCGAACTCCGCTCCGCCTAGGGCTTTAGAGTCTTGGATTTGGCCTCCGGCATACCGGAAAGATTCGGGAAGGATTCCCTACTGTACTTCGGCTAAACGAGCTGGTTGACCTGGCCTGAACCGACTATGAGCGTGCCTCGGTTGGTTACCAGACCAGACAGTTTGGCACTTGGAGATAAGATTTTTAGTTTAGACGTATACTCGCCATGAGTGCCACTGCGCACTCTGACCTTTGGAACTTATATTCTGCTGAATTCAGCTCAATTCTTACAAGGCAGGGCCCTGCCTCGAAATCGAACTTTTCCCGAACGTCCAGCTCCACATCCTGGCCAAAGGGAAAAGGTACCCCGGGTTTCGGGCCTCGGGTCTGGGGTTTAAAGGTTTAGAGTTTGGGGTTTGAGGGCCCGGGGGATTACTTCTAGCAACGGAGATGCTGGAAGTCCGCGAGCGGGTTCTGAGTAGGATGGTAGACTTGTCGACAATGCTGCCTACTGCGAGTGCACATGACAGAATTCCAAGAGCCCTGAGTCTTTTGAGTCTGCATCGATATTTGCGTCTTGGGGCAGCCGTTTGCGGCACTTCATTTCGCGGTTTGGGGCTGAGAAGATCTGCTTGCTAGGCCTCAAAGGCATGCAACCCCCGTAAGCCCTAAGCTCCGAGCAGGGAACCTCCAATTCATCGAGGTCGTTGAAGACGACCTCCGCGCACCTCGAGGCCCGAACTTCCAACACCCTTGCCTGAGGAAAGCTCAGTAAAAATGCAGAAGTCAGTAGTCCATTTAAGTCTGATGTTACATTGCACCAAGGTTTGGGGCTGATTTGGGTATGTGGGAAATGATGCACTAACACCACGGGAGCATGAAAGGTTTCCTACCTTGACAGTCCAACAAAAGCCTTCGTCATCCCAAGATCTGACTCGCACACTCCTCCTTCATCCGTAAAGCCACAAAACAAACCTCAAGGCATCCAAGAAGAGGGATTTTAGGGCTTTCCGATCCCTCCGAACCATGAGATCCAAACAAGATGTCTACTCCTACTCCTACTCCTGCTACTCCTCCTACTGCTGCTACTACTACTACTACTACTACTACTCCTCCTCCTCCGCCTCCTGCTCCTCCTGCTGCTGCTGCTACTCTTCTTCCTCCTCCTACTCCTACTCCTACTACCACTTCTACTCTTACTCCTACTGCGGCTCCTGCTCCAACTCCTACTGCCCCTCGTACTGCTCCCGCTACTCCTACTCCTACCCCGACTCCTACTGCTGCTGCTGCTGCTGCTGCTGCTGCTGCTGCTGCTGCCAACTGTCACCACTGCTTCAAGTGAAAACAGATTGCTATGCTGGCCATCTTCACTCTAGAAATATTTTTCCACTCATGAACCGCACTCTTTTGAATGCAGCCCAGGAAGCTTGTAGCAAAGAAGGTGTCGCGTTCCAGCCTGTCCACCCAGCAACAATGCGAGTTCGGATGATGCTCGGGCCGATGAAAAACGAAACCCGACACTGTCGGAATGTCAACCAGTGTCTGATGATACACATATACAAGTGAAGCGAGATTGTTGGGCTGCCCTTCCTTTTCTCTGGGGCTGTCAGGAATCTCAGGGAAAACAGAGAAATCGCTCAAGCCTTCACCTGAACCCGTAAACGGCCGAGCCTCAAAAAAGGCTGCACTGCGGGGGCTGGAGGCCAAGTCGAGACCGTTATCCCACCACATACACGCGCATCACTTGGCCACCCGACATCTTCGCAAGTCGGGCACTTGAAACCCCGGTAGA